AAAATAGTAAAAGCCTGGAAAATAAATTGGAAGAAAATAGTAAAAGCCTGGAAAATAAATTGGAAGAAAATAGTAAAAGCCTGGAAAATAAATTGGAAGAAAATAGTAAAAGCCTGGAAAATAAATTGGAAGAAAATAGTAAAAGCCTGGAAAATAAATTGGAAGAAAATAGTAAAAGCCTGGAAAATAAATTGGAAGAAAATAGTAAAAGCCTGGAAAATAAATTGGAAGAAAATAGTAAAAGCCTGGAAAATAAATTGGAAGAAAATAGTAAAAGCCTGGAAAATAAATTGGAAGAAAATAGTAAAAGCCTGGAAAATAAATTGGAAGAAAATAGTAAAAGCCTGGAAAATAAATTGGAAGAAAATAGTAAAAGCCTGGAAAATAAATTGGAAGAAAATAGTAAAAGCCTGGAAAATAAATTGGAAGAAAATAGTAAAAGCCTGGAAAATAAATTGGAAGAAAATAGTAAAAGCCTGGAAAATAAATTGGAAGAAAATAGTAAAAGCCTGGAAAATAAATTGGAAGAAAATAGTAAAAGCCTGGAAAATAAATTGGAAGAAAATAGTAAAAGCCTGGAAAATAAATTGGAAGAAAATAGTAAAAGCCTGGAAAATAAATTGGAAGAAAATAGTAAAAGCCTGGAAAATAAATTGGAAGAAAATAGTAAAAGCCTGGAAAATAAATTGGAAGAAAATAGTAAAAGCCTGGAAAATAAATTGGAAGAAAATAGTAAAAGCCTGGAAAATAAATTGGAAGAAAATAGTAAAAGCCTGGAAAATAAATTGGAAGAAAATAGTAAAAGCCTGGAAAATAAATTGGAAGAAAATAGTAAAAGCCTGGAAAATAAATTGGAAGAAAATAGTAAAAGCCTGGAAAATAAATTGGAAGAAAATAGTAAAAGCCTGGAAAATAAATTGGAAGAAAATAGTAAAAGCCTGGAAAATAAATTGGAAGAAAATAGTAAAAGCCTGGAAAATAAATTGGAAGAAAATAGTAAAAGCCTGGAAAATAAATTGGAAGAAAATAGTAAAAGCCTGGAAAATAAATTGGAAGAAAATAGTAAAAGCCTGGAAAATAAATTGGAAGAAAATAGTAAAAGCCTGGAAAATAAATTGGAAGAAAATAGTAAAAGCCTGGAAAATAAATTGGAAGAAAATAGTAAAAGCCTGGAAAATAAATTGGAAGAAAATAGTAAAAGCCTGGAAAATAAATTGGAAGAAAATAGTAAAAGCCTGGAAAATAAATTGGAAGAAAATAGTAAAAGCCTGGAAAATAAATTGGAAGAAAATAGTAAAAGCCTGGAAAATAAATTGGAAGAAAATAGTAAAAGCCTGGAAAATAAATTGGAAGAAAATAGTAAAAGCCTGGAAAATAAATTGGAAGAAAATAGTAAAAGCCTGGAAAATAAATTGGAAGAAAATAGTAAAAGCCTGGAAAATAAATTGGAAGAAAATAGTAAAAGCCTGGAAAATAAATTGGAAGAAAATAGTAAAAGCCTGGAAAATAAATTGGAAGAAAATAGTAAAAGCCTGGAAAATAAATTGGAAGAAAATAGTAAAAGCCTGGAAAATAAATTGGAAGAAAATAGTAAAAGCCTGGAAAATAAATTGGAAGAAAATAGTAAAAGCCTGGAAAATAAATTGGAAGAAAATAGTAAAAGCCTGGAAAATAAATTGGAAGAAAATAGTAAAAGCCTGGAAAATAAATTGGAAGAAAATAGTAAAAGCCTGGAAAATAAATTGGAAGAAAATAGTAAAAGCCTGGAAAATAAATTGGAAGAAAATAGTAAAAGCCTGGAAAATAAATTGGAAGAAAATAGTAAAAGCCTGGAAAATAAATTGGAAGAAAATAGTAAAAGCCTGGAAAATAAATTGGAAGAAAATAGTAAAAGCCTGGAAAATAAATTGGAAGAAAATAGTAAAAGCCTGGAAAATAAATTGGAAGAAAATAGTAAAAGCCTGGAAAATAAATTGGAAGAAAATAGTAAAAGCCTGGAAAATAAATTGGAAGAAAATAGTAAAAGTCTGGAAAATAAATTGGAAGAAAATAGTAAAAGCCTGGAAAATAAATTGGAAGAAAATAGTAAAAGTTTGAAACGTGAATTGCAAGAAAATAATGAAAGTTTGCAACGTGAACTGAAGGAAAACAGTAAATGTTTGGAAAATAAATTGGAAGAAAACAGTAAAAGTTTGGAGAATAAATGGGAAGAAAAATTTAAGAAGAATATTCAAGAAACAGAAGAGAAGATAAAAGTGCTAGAAGAATTAATTTATAATGGATAGACAAAACCAATCGTAGGGGATGTTGGTGCATACAGTACACTCAACGAAACCAGCCAAATCAGACAAGGAAGCGGTATAGAGTCGAGAACACGAGTAAAACCACCAACGTTTGACGGAAAGTCCTCATAGACCACATACCACAAGCAATTCGAGGCGGCTGCTAAGGCGAATAACTAGGCGTCTGAAGAAAAAGCCACTGTGTTGACCGTTGCGCTTCGTGGAGATGCATGTGACATTTTGAACACTCTCTCCCCGGAAGAGTTGGCGGATTACGAACAGTTGGTAGAACGGTTGGAGTTTTGCTACGGCGAGGCTCATTTAACAGCGGTGTATCACATCCAAATGAAAACCCGTAAACAGAAACCAACGGAATCCCTACAAGAATTCGAGGCCGATATTGCGAGACTGTCCCGACTGGTCTATCCTAATACTCCAGAAGAATTGATGAAAAAGTTGGCAGTGGAGGCATTTACTGATGGACTTCGGGACAGTGACACCCAACAACGAATACGCCTTGACCGACCTAAGACGCTAGCTGGTGCATTGGCTCGTGCATTGGAGTAAGAAACTGTTAAACAGGCCTATAGCAGGCAGGGAAGGGTTCGGCTACTGCGTGAAGAAACGGATTCGTCAGAATTTCTAGAAGAAACCGTCTGCCGAATCATCTCCAAGTTCGATAAAGAAACACGAAGGCTAAGATGTTGGAATTGCGGCGAACTAGCTCACAAATGGAGGCAGTGTAGGAAAAGTACTCCTTCCCCAAGTACTCGACGTCAACAGCAGGAAAACTAGATAGGGTCGACGTAACGGGGCAAACGTTGACCCACGGACAAAAAGACTCCGAATTTATGGCATCTACGAAGACTTGGAAGCGCCAGAATGACAGTCTACTCCTAGGTGGAAAAATAAATGGCCGAAGATGCGTGTTTATAGTAGCATAGTAAAATCCGGCTTAATTGAGGGTTCTAACCAGGTCGTGTCAACTAAGTGGGTTCTGGGTACGGCTACCGGAGAAAAAGCGGTTGTTCATGGCGAAGCTAACGCGTCACTTGAAATAGGTAAGACTGTCTTTGACCATCGAGTGCTTGTGACAGATATTGAAGATGTCGTAATTCTTGGGCTGGACGTTTTACAAAAATACGATTTTGACATGAATTTAAGAAGACGCGTTCTGAGACTGAATGGCGAAGAATAACCCGTTTTTGTGTGGATTACCGCCAGCTCAACAACGTAACTAAGAAAGATAGTTATCCACTACCACGGATTGATGACACCCTAGCATAAACGAAGCGAAAACAAATGGAATACTTGGTGAACAGCAATGGAAACAACGATAAAAGCGTACTTTGTAACTGTTTGCACGGTAGTGAACTTTGTTTCAAAGCACAAGAATTAGCTATTGAATACAAGCGGGAAATCACACGTTATATTAATATTTCCGAATTTTCAGTCACGGCAGTAAGAAGTTATTATGAAGTCAAACGAAAGCGTTGCCGCGAATGAAGATTGTGTCAGACCGAAACAGTAAACAGTTATATGTTCTTGCAAACTTTGTAGCTGAAAATAAACAACAATAACATTGGTAGGGAAGTGCGCTTTGAATGACAGCGGTTCGAAGAGCACCTATATTCTTAAGAAAACTCCTGCGGAAATGGAGCTTGTGTGAAAACATATCGGAAACTTCATCGTTTCGTAATTTGGTGAGCAAAATCAGAGTTATTGTGACGTCATGATGGGTAACTTAAAATATTCTATGGAAGTTTTCGATCAACGAAAAAAATGTGGGGACATTTCAACAATGTTTGTGGTTTGTTGGCTCGACGAACTGGGACAACTGAATATCGAAATAAAGGACAAAAAATCAGATTCGATTTAAGAGGGTGGGAGCATCCAACCTAACGCTAAAGAAAAAACCTCGGCGTCGGTTCTTATCTTGATTTCGTAGAAGTCATTGGGGAGGGAGAACCCATCATTAATGAAAGACCCTTCCACTGGCACAGCAGATATTTGCTCAGATTGGTTATACCTGCCCATTTCTTTATTTCCGATCAAGTAAATATAGAAATTGCACCAACAATTAAAAGTACTTTTGTAAAGGAAACGCTCTCAGATGAAGTAGTGAAATTCTAAGTAAATGATATACTCAAAAAAGAGAGAATAACCAACTGTCCATAAGAAGTATGTTACGCAATAATGAATACCTAACAATTTCCAAGTAAATTTCACTTGCAATGCTAATCAATGGAGAAAACCCCACTTAACAACTCTTATAAACTTATGAATGAGTCGAACATATACCCTTTTATGTTACAAAAATTAAAAATCTTCATTTTATACACAAAAACAAAAAATATTTGCTAAAGTTTAATTTTATGCGGAATATGCAAATTTTAATACCGTTTATCATATTATTTTCCTGTAAATGGATATTGGGGTGATATTCCTATTTGAAAAAAAAGATGTGTTTTTTACATACAATCCCAACTCTAATAATAACATTTGCTCAAATAAAATGAAATGACAATTCGAGAATAGAGATCCATTTAAATGTAAAAATTGAAAATTGAATTACAAGTGTAGCATATATTATGTAGCTAAAGAAGGCAACGAAAATTATTAGGCCAACTGAATATAGTACCTATACTATATGACCAGTAAAGAGTGTAACAGATTTAAATTTTCCAATTTAATTCGTTTGAATATAATCTATTTTGATTGTGTTATTTATTGAGTTTGGGAATTATGACAATCATTTTTAACTGACATTATTATAGTTGTCATTTTTAAAAATCAGTTCCTTTAGTTTTACAAATGATAAGTACAGTTGAGTTTGTCACGGAATCTAAATGTCCTGAAAGCAGTGTTCAAAATTCTCAGTCATTCTGTACGGACACAAAATGAAGTAAGTTGATTTAATCTAAATTTTCATCTACTTCTTCAGGTAAGCGCGACACTTTACTGCCAAAACATGTTGAACTTACAAATCAGTTTATTACAATACAAACTTGGTTCTTAAGATGCGCATGGCATGAAAAATATAATTTTATTTTAAAACTTTTAAATTTTGTCGAATTGTCTACTTCGTTGCAACTTTTAATTAATATTCTATTGGACGCTCAAGATAAAGCTGCAGTTTACGGCGAATGTTGGTATGAAACGTAACTATTTTATGACTATTTGTTTATAAAATTTTGTTTAGTATAACTACGGACTTTGTTTACGACAAAGTTATTGCCGATCATAACAGGTCTTTAGAAGAAAAGACACTCAACGAGGAAATACAGTCGGCTCTGCATTGGTTCGATGAATTAACAAGCAGTAAACAAATAAGCGTTTTATTAAGTGGGTACAAACATAAGCACGTTTGATATTTTTGCCCAAAACATAATTTCTGTTTTGCTATTTTAGCATTAGTAAGAATGTCCGGTGGAACAATGGCCCGGCGGCTTTATCAAGTTGTGGTTAATTTGCACAAAGACAAGCAATGTAAACGTTATGAGAAAAACTCACAACTGAATATTATAAAAGATTTATCAGACCCTCATAAATTAAGTATTGTAGTTAACAGCTCCGAAGTTCAACAGAATCGAAAAATTCTGAAAACTGATAGAAGGAAAGTATTCTACTCCGACAAGGTTGAATCTGAAGGTCAGGAAAATGATATTCATGATCCCGAGGATCCTCTCTATGTAGAAGTTGAAAAACGAAGAAAGGTTTGGAAGGAAATTATTGGTCGGTATAAAACTCAGTTAGACAAAAAGAAAGGTGCCGGTCAAAAGGCGATAAAGAAAAAGAAGGGTAAGAAGCAGCAAAAACAGTCGCAAAATAAGAAACCGAAAGACGAATTAGACACGGTATGATATTAAGATTTACTCAAAAACTGTAGGTATCACTAAGATTGAAACCAACTATTTCGTAGATTCAAATGCTTCCAGTATGGGTAGTTAAAAAAATATTTGGGTACTTGGATACCAAAACATTACGGAAAATAAGAACAGTAAACAAGTACTGGGATTATGTTATCGGAGAATTACTTAAAGAAAAAGCTTCGAGAAAGACATTGAATAAAGCTATAAGTAAAATGCAGGTTGCAGTTACAAAGTATTGAATATGCTTATATTTTTTATGTAGAAAGTTTACATTTAGGATGAAGAAAAATCTGTCGAAATTTATCCCAATCTCTTTGAAAGTCGTAGAGGTCTTTCACTATTTGACACAATCAAATTGAAAGCGTCAATTAGAGGAAGTACAAGAAAGAAGCTGATAATTCCAACAAAATTCTCAATTTTTGAAACGTCAGTTGTAACAACAACTGAAAAGGTAAGTAAATGTATAAATTTTTCACTGAAGCAAACGTTCGATTTCAAATTGTTCCGCTATATATATATCAAAGAGGTTTAAAGTAAAATAAAAATAAACATTTGGGTTAGTTTCACCAATGATTATTATTATTCATGACAATATTGCTTCGATGTGTGTCATCATTATCTTAAAGCAAAAGTCACCTAACACAATGAATGTCATCCCAATGAACTCAAGAAAATTATTTTTATCAGTAATGTAGCATTAATTACTGCAATCAAGGGTAATGATAAATCTCTTCTTAAGTTTAGAAATCAGACCAAATAGAACCAACTCGTAGTCTTTTACCAAAACGCTCAAGGCTTAGGAAAGAAGCTATTCCATCTGTCCACTAATATCCAGTCTTCTCATTTTACATCCGACATTAACGGATTTTCCGAACCTGGCTGGAATAGTCCTTGAATAGTGAGCTACGGCTTGATGGTTACAATGTCTTTAGGTTCGACAGATCTTCATTAAATACTGTTTAGGCTGGTCGAGGTGATGTGTTGTTTACCATTACAACCACCATTATAGTAATTGGAATTTTTAATGAATTCAATATTGTGCAAAGCTTTGTCAGATGCCCCATTTGCAATCTTAAATTTATTATTATTGGTTGTGTATACACACCTCATTCAAAAAAACACGAATACTACTGTAATCATCTTCATGATTTACAAGCTCTGACGGATAAGTGCTTATATCATAAGCTTTTGGTGATGGGTGATTTCAACCGATCCAATTTGAAGTGTTTAAACGATCTTCTTCATATCGAAAAGTCGCCCGTCCCTGGTAACACGGATATTAATTCCAAATGTATTTCCTTGTTTAAAGTGTCATCAATGTTACCTGGAGTACCTTGAAGATTATACTTTTCTGTCCTACATACTCTCTTATCTCTGCAAAGCTTTGCGATCCATTGATACCAACCGAAAATATAAATCATTGCGCAGGGTCATTTGCTTTTTATTTTACTTTTAATATTATGGACGATAAGAATTCTATTTTGTTATATTTCACTAAAGCTAAAAATGATATTATTTGAATTTTCTAAGTTATACTGGAGTTTTTATGAATCTCTTTCAGATATTAATCTTATTACTACTAAATTTTATGATAATCGAAATTCGGTTATTACTCGCTATATCCCATTAAGATGTAGCGTCCTTTCTTCTTATCCTCCATGGTACAATAAGGATCTGAAAGACGCATTAAGTAATAAAAGAGTAGCTGGAAAAGAACAAAACTAGTAAGCGCATATATTCAATTCAAAATGCCGAGGACTTTGGCATAGACTTTACCTGGAACACATTCAATCTTAATTACTTAGGAACATTGAATATTTTTGGTCATTCATTAAAAAGTGCAAAAAGTTATATGCTTTTTGTAGTAATGTATCTTATAAAAGAAGGCTTTCTACGACCAAAAAGCTTCTGATTTGATCGCCACATATTTTTCCACGGTTTATCCTAAACATAGCTTCTCTTTACCTTCTTTACATACCCTAATTAGAGATTGCGTTGACCCCAACTGTGGCTCAGATTATAGTCTTTATATTTTTTAGGTAGATGTGATGATTCGTTTATTTAAAAACTTCTAACCTTATTTAATAATCTAGTTGGGATATTTCGGGCATTCTGGTTGTAGTATTTCAAGGTTTATCTTCAACGTTTCTCTACTGACCACAATAGCAATAGCAGCCAAATCTCCTGAAGATGTCGTCCTCGGGTGGTGACTAAACACCGAGGATAAACATTGAAAGACGACGGTCAGAAAGACTGAAAAACCACAAGTACATTAATGATGGCTGTGAAAGCTTGACCCGAATACCTTATTTAACAAGTTTTTATTAGCAGGAATTTTTCCAGATCTACACTCTTATATGTTCAACCTAATTTTAAGAAAAATAATAAAATCATAGTAACCAATTACAGGCATTTCGGTAGTGACAGCACTTTTCGATTGTATAACTGCTAACAGACTTAATGTTACACTATGTGATTTAACAATTAATGAACAACACGGATTTTTTAAGGGTAGGTCTACACATTGAAATTTGATTATTTATAATGATTTTATTAAAAACACCTTTTCAATGGGTAATCAAATTGAATCGATTTACATGGACTTTTCCAATCCTTAGATTCCGTTAATCATCCTGCTCTTATTGTGAAGCTACCTAGTTTGGGTGTTAGTGGCTCATTTTTGAACTGAATTAGCTCTTATCCTACTGATAGAACGCAAATTGTCCGTTTAAATGGCTCTTTCTCATCGTGCATTCATGTTTTGTCTGCTATAGCACAGGGATCTCATTTGTGATAATTTCTTTTCATAAAATTTTTCCTTGTCATCACTCAGCACTTAAATTTTTCTCAAATTCTTCTGTTTGCGGATGATCTAAAAGTCTTTAAAGTTATTCAATGTTTATCCGACAAACTATAGCTCCAAAAAGACATTAACATTATTCAAAAATGAGCAACTGATAAATATTTCTTTCTCAATATGTAATATCTTTCAAAACAACATCAACGTTCTTATCTTTTGATTACAACTGAAACTCTGTCAGATTTGTCGCGCCATTTATTTTAAAAATACGTTAAAAATTTATTATTAAACACGTAATTGTTGGTTTTAACTATTTTTCTTCATTTCTCTTATTGTGGGTGATGATTAGATGCAAGAATAGCTTGTTAGCTAAACTTCACCATCTGTTTTATTCGTAATGTGGATGCATTTCCAGGACAGTTACATAAAGTCAATTATTATTATTATTTTGCGGTCTTCTCAGTTTTCCTTGGTTAACCTTGGATGAAGGCGAGCTGATGCCAAATAACCTCAGTCACATCTTTTGAGACACCATATGGAAAGCAATTAACTGTAATTTTATTTAATTAATTAATTTTAATGTACTATTCCGTATGTAACGAGGATTACTAATTTGTGTAGATTGATGTATGTAGGTTCATGTAGTTTCAACTCGACTAGGCTAGGATGTAATGTTTTAGGTTTAACGCCTATTGATGATACCGGGGTAGTAGATAAGGTATGACAGTTCGACCAACCGACTAAATAGGGAGACAGTATAACGGTAATATAAAAGTAAATATTCCACACCGTTGATGTACTTATACAAACAACATGCATACATGTATTTGTAGGACTAAACTTTTATTGTAATTAACTATTATTTTTCGGTCTTGTTTTCACTGGTTAACATTGAGAAAATGTAGACGGGCTGATGGCAAAGAACCTCACTCATACTTTTTGGAATACGATATGGAAACCAATTTTTTTTTCTTAAATTTTATAGAACTTACGTGTATAAGTTTATACAGTTTCAAGTCGGCAAGGCTTACGATGTTATGTTTTAGGTATAACGCCTATTGATGATATTTTTATTGGAATAATTTGAACTGTGTTTTAATTCCACATTTCTTTTATTTCATCAGCCAAAGGAATATATTTTTGAATTCTGCCACACCTATCTTTAGCAAGGTTATATCAGAGAAAAAAAAATCTGAAGGATGAATTAATGAAGAAATTGCATAAGAAAGGTCTTGATCGACCTAGAAATATATTAAAAATAAGATTAATGCAAGGACAAAATAAAATTACTTTTCATCAGAAAAATTACATGCAGAAGGTATTATAGTAATTTAATATGATTTAATGTAAGCCTGTGAATACACCCTTGGAATGTAGCTTGAAAGTTGAAAGGGACCAAACTGATGCTGACTCTAACATAAGTATAGAAGCCTTGCTGGATATACTGTATAGCCGTGCCAGGCCCGACACTTCATACAGCTATCTTATTGAACCGGTTTAATAATTATCACTTAGATATACACTGAAAACGGCTAAATGAGTCTCAGGGTAGGCGTAATACAGTGTCGCTGCTGGGACTGAGGATGACTAGTCTATCTAGTTCTTTGGCGCCTTTGGAGGTCATTCTTCAGCTGAGGGTCATTCTTCGGTCAGGTCGAAGAATGACACACACACACACACATACAAACATATGCTCAGGAAACATGCCTTACAAACCCCTTCCATCGTAGATGTTGCTGTTGCTGCAGTTACGGGTGGTTGTAGGGGACGTTTATAGAGCATGTTCGTCTTGTGCGTGTGTGTGTGTTGTATGTATGTGCATTGTGTGTTGCTTATGTGTGTGTGTATGTGTGTTGGAGTAGGATGGATGGATGATAGTTATCTTATGATGGTGATGATGATGATGACGAAGAAGATTTTTCTTCGCGCGGTCGGGTTCGAACCGATGAGTGCGAGAATATAACGATCGATCACGACGTTAATGCGCTAGGCCACCGCCCTGGTCCGCATGATAGATTAAAAGCCGTTGATACAACAAGTTGTGTTTATGTGTAAGTGTACCATATCGCCCGCCGGCATCGGCGTAGCTGCCAGGGCCGCAGCCGCCGTCGGTTTTGAATCTCGTGATATGCATTTATACATACAATAGTAGTACATACATACATATACGAGGGTGGATTGATAAGTTTCCGGCCTGACCAAGAAAAACAAGGTTTTTAAAAATTTTTTTTTTTATTTCTCAACATAATCTCCTCCAAGGCTGATACATTTCTCATAGCGGTGTTCCAGTCTATTAATGCCATCTCTATAGACTGATTCGTCAAGCTCCTCAAAATAACCATTTACAGCTTCGATTACTTCTTCATTGTCCGCAAATCTCTTACCGCCAAGCCATTTTTTGAGATTAGGGAACAGAAAATAGTCACTCGGGGCTAGGTCTGGAGAGTAAGGAGGGTGCGGCATCAATTCAAACTTTAGATCGTTGATTTTAGCCGTCGCAACGATTGACGTGTGCGCTGGTGCGTTATCGTGATGAAACAAGATTTTTTTCTTCGCCAGATGAGGTCGTTTAATTTTCACCTCGTGGCTCAAACGTTGCAATAAGTCTGCGTAGTATTGACCAGTGATAGTATTACCCTTTGCAAGGTAAT